CCGGCCCCGGGGGCCCGCCGCGTCCCTGCCGCGCAGCTGATCTGTCTTCTCCGGCCGGATGCTGCAACAGCTTCTCCAGCAGCCTGCCCCATGCAATGGCGGTGCCCAAGGGCTTGGGGCGCCCAAATGCAGCTCCTCCACCTCCACTGGGGAGCTGGACATGGCCATGGGCACGTTGTCACCTCAGCCCAGGGGCCAGGAGACCGTGCGGCAGGAAGGCACGTGAGGACGGCAAGAGGCTCTTGGCCGTCCTTCCCCCCGCCCCAACGCTCGGTATCCCACGCCGAGGTCACCCCGGGGGTACCTGACTCCCAGCCTCGGCAGCAGTTTCCTCCAGGCTGGGGGAAAGTCCACAGCATCCCACATTCCCAAGGAGACCGTGGGAAGCTTTGAAAAAGTTGGCCTAGCTCTGGGCTGCCTATTTATAGTAACGCACACTCCGATCTCTCATGCTTCTGTTCCCCAGCGTAGCTGCACGGGACTGTTTATATTTCCTCTTCTCTGCTTCCCCCTCATCCTTCCTTCTCAGGAATGCTGCTTGGTATTGCAGGGATGGGGAAGTAGAGGCGGATTCGGGACAGGCCCTTTGCTTCCTTCGCGGCTTCGCGAGGACCGTGGGCGTGCAGGGGGCACGATCTTGTCCTTCTCCCTGCCTGCGCCCCGTCTGCCTTTCCTCCTGCCAGTGCGGTGGGGACAACTTTGGCTGGCTTGGCATCTGCTGGTGTGGAGAGGAGGGACGCGAGGGGCATGGGGAGTGCGACTGGGTGCTCGGGTGCAGCCTGGCCGCCCTGCAGTCAGCAGTGCCAAGCTGTGCAGAACGCAGTGCCGGTCCCATGTAGGTGACAAGGGCACGGTGAGCGCGGTGCTCCTCGCCGGGCAGAGGTGCTGCAGGGCTCTCTAGGGCACTGATCGAGACGGGGTCCTGAGGTGGAGGATGGCCAGTAATGCCCTCCCGCTATAGACCCCGGCCCTGTAGCTTGTGAGAAAAAGCACCACGGGCCCCAACTGTTTTCGGTACAGGTGCTAGGAAGGACGGGGAAGGCCTCGTCTCATCTTGCTGCAGACAAAGCCGAGAACGGGGTCAAAATGGGTTGGAAGCCCTCAGCAGCATTCCTGCTGGAGAGCAGTGTGAGGGCTCTGCTGAGGTGGGAATGTCCCCGCAGCCTTGGTGGCTGCCCCCATTGGGAGCACACCCACCTCCCTGCTCTTGCGGAGCTGTGACTGTCCTCTGGGATTGGCCTCGCCAGGGGCATGGAGGAGCAGCTGGAGAGCAGGAGCTCCTCTCCTGAGCTCCGTGGCAGCAGGGTGGGATCCCTCCGGCACTGAGAGCTGAGCTGTGACAGGATGGATCTCCCTTATCTTCCTGCTCTTGGCCTCAGCCCCTGCCTTCACGTGTTTGTCCATGCTCTCCCCTGGCTCTGGGCCCCAACATAAGCACCCGTGGTCGCTTAAAACCATGAGCTAGGTGCAGATCTGCTCTCGTCCCCCCACTTTCCCCTCCTCGCTGGTGCAGGGAGGCTGCCCAGCTCCCCATGCCGCAGGGGACGCTCCGCTGGAGGGTGAGGTGGGAGAGGTGCTCTCCCAGCGCTGCCCCCCGCGGCGACACGCTTGCTGCACTGTCCTTTCTCTGCTGGGGTAGGGAATGTGACACTTTGAAAGCAGCCCGGGTGCCCCCGGCACCATGGGGAAGTTTGCAACCTCTTTCCACATCAGGCCAGTGGATGTGACAGCAATCGTTTGTCGTGGGAGCTCGGTGAGGCCTGTGAGGAGAGGCAGCTTCTGCTAGCTGTTACAGTCAGAGGTCAGAGAGGCCTCATCATTGCTTGGTAGCTGGGCCTGTGTCCGTGTTTTCCTGTTTCAGAGGGGAACGGAGGAGGGTGCATTCTGCCCGCACAACTCCAGCTTTCCTGGAGCTCGCAGCGCTCCCGCCTCGCAGGCCGCCCCTCATCGAGCCCTGCCCTGGCCTTGCTCCACGGGCTTTTTGTAGCTCGCGCTCTCCCTGAGCTGTGGCCAGAAGCGGGGAGCGGGTGCGCAGTTTGCAGGGCTGCGGGCTGGCTGGGCGCGTCGGCTGGGCTGGCCTTCGCCAAGCCGCTCTGCTCTCCTGGCTACCTCTGGAATAACTTGTGTCTGGCGAGGCTGGGAGCTCACATTCTTCTGCTTGGAGGAGGGGTCGCAGGCACCGAGGATGCTCCGAGTTAACCCTCCCGGCGCCGTCGGGAGGAGGCTCTCCGAGAAGCCTTTTCTCCTGCCCAGGACTCTTCTATGGAGGAAGCAGTTGCTTTCCTTGTGTGCAGACACACGTGCCCCCCGCACGCCCACAGCCCTCAGCCTTTCAGCATGTGGAGAGGGCTCTGCCCATGTCTCTGCCCCAGCAGCCTGGCCACGCTCGGAGCAGAGGGGAGGCTCCCTGGCAGCCCCTCGCGGCTCAGCAGGACTTTGGAACTTTCTCTGCTTCCTTTTTGCAGACCTCCAGGCCCCACCCAGGGAGCAGGGCTGGGCCAGGGCAGGCAGCAGGCCGGGACCCCCGGCCTCTGCGAGCGGCCGAGCCAAGGACGGCTCTGCCTCTACTGG